TTACTCTTTGGGGGCCCACCACCCAGCTCCCAAATAAATACACAGAAACTTATTCTTACATATGAATGCCTGGCCTTAGCCTGGCTTGTTTCTAGACAGCTTTTCTTAACTTAAACTATCCCATCTGCCTTTTGCGTCGGGGCTTTTACCTTTATATTCTATTACCTTTCTTTCCTTCTTACTCCATGGCTGGTTGTGTGGCTGCGTTGCTGGCCCCTGGCGTCCTCCTCTCCTTTTCCTTTTCTTGCTCGTCGTCCTCTTCTCTTCTTCCTCGGAGCCTAGATTTCTCCTTTATTTATTCTCTCTGCCTGGCAGCCCCACCTATCCTTCCACCTGCCTAGCTATTCGCTGTTCAGTTCTTTATTAGACCACCAGGTGTTTCAGACAGGCAAAGTAACACCGCTTCACAGAGTTAAACAAATGCAACATAAAAGAAACACATCTTTAAATCATTAAACAAATATTCCACAGCATAAATGAATGTAACACATCTTCAACTAATATTCCACAACAAAACTCTACTGCAGTCTCAGAATACCCCAGCACCTCATAGAAATCCCTCTCCGCAGGAATACTCAGCTCTTACCTAGCCCCATCCCGGGCAACTAGCACCTGCTTCTGTCTTTGTGAATTTGCTCTTTCTAGATGCTTCACATAAACCGATTAAGAAAGGGTTTGATCTGCTCTGTCAGGTTTCTTTAATGTAGTTTAGTATTTTTGAGGTCTGTACAAAGTACTATTAATACTTGCATTTTTCGGGGCTAATAGTAATTATTTGTGTTTAGAACATGGACACTTGGATAATACTGCTCTATTCATTCCATATGGTCTTATTTTTTTCTTTATTATAAGGATGCCCAAATACCTAGGAGATGCTGGCAATAGTTGAGAGGGTGCCTGAACTGGCCTACTCCGGTGATCACATGGCTGAATACCCTGTCATCATAGAGCCCTCATCCAGTGACTGATGGAAGCGGATGCAGAGATCCACAGCCAGGTGCCAGGCCAAGCTCCAGGAGTCCAATTGATGAGAGAGAGGAGGGATTCTATGAGCAAGGGACATTGAGACTATGATGGGAAAACGTACAGAGATGACTAGCCAAACTAGTGGAAATGCATGAACTGTAGACCAATAGCTGTGGAGCCCCCATGGTACTGGGCTAGGCCCTCTGGATAGGTGAGACAGTTGTTTAGCTTGAACTGTTTAGGGGGCCTCCAGGCAGTGGAATCGGACCCGTCCCTAGTGCACGCGCCAGCTTTTTGGAGCCTAGTGCCTATGGTGAGACACTCTGAACAGCCTTGATGCAGGGAGAAGGGGCTTGGATCTGCCTTAACTGACATGGGAGAACTTGCCTTGGAGGAGGTGGGAAGAGGAGATGGGTTGGGGGAGAAGGATGGAGGGCGGGAGGAGGGAGAACAGGGGAATTTGTGGTTGGTATGTTAAATGAATAGAAAATCTCTTAATAACAATAATAATAATAATAATAATAATAATAATAATAATAATGATAATGATAATAAAAGGATGCCCAAATACCGAAGAGATGCTGAGCTGAAGACTGAGGTCTTCCTCTACCCCCAAATTCTTTCAAGAAGGCTATACCAGTTGTCATATCCCAATATATAAAGTTCACTCTTTCCCATCTTCATCAGAACTCCCTGTCATTTATTCATTCATTCATTTATCTGTTCCAGTCATCCTAGTGGGTGCCAAGCGGTGTCTCACTTTGACTAATGACTGATGACACTGTAGTGGTTTGAAAGAAAATGACCCCCAAAGGGAATTGCACTATTAGGAGGTGTGGCCTTGTTGAAGTAGGTGTAGCCTTGTTGGAAGAAGTGTGCCACTGTGGGGGTGAACTCTGAGGTCTCTTTTGCTGAAGTTTCCCTTAGTGTGACAATGAATTACTTCCTGTTGCCTGAAAGCC